ACATCTTCATTAATTTCTTTGATGACGAAGCCCTCATTGACCGTATGAACGGTTTGGTAAGGCTCGAAGCATGGCCGCGTGCACGTACTACACGTTCAGAGATCAATGTTAATGAATAGATGTAACAAGCCCTTTTTTTTTTTTTTTTTGGAAATAGGTTACAAACAATAAAAAAAATATCATTCTAAGAAATCATAATTCAACCTCAAAAATATTTTTACTTAAAGATAAATGATTAATCACTTAATCTAAAACGTGTGTACATAGGAAGCTCATTTTTTTAGTTCAACTACAAAGATGAAATTTCATTTTTATGTTCTAACTCCTCTTGATGGTGACATCTAAGAAGAATAAATCATGTGTAATACGTAGCAGGTTGGACATATTAAGTTTTGGACTCTGGTTATGGAATTGAGTCCTTAGGAAAATATAAACAGGAAATTAAAATATTCTGTTGCTTGACCAGAGAGCTTCAGATTCAGAGTTGGTCACATTGAGGCTAAGCTGGAAGAAGAAATGCAAAAAAACTGAGGGCCTATTGTACTATTGTATAAAAAATTGACTCACCAAAACAGGGAAAATTAAGAAAAACTCCATGGTAACTGATGCACTCTCAATTCTTGGGGTCGAATGCAGTGAGGAATGTGATTAATATCCAACTCCTAATATGTGAATTGAATGTGATTATAATGCCAAAAAAAAAAAAAAAAAAAAAAACATTAGCAGAATATGAATAACTACATTAGCTTTTAAGAATGTCTCAAGTAGTAGAGAGACTTTAACTCCAAGTTGAGATTCGAAACCCTGATGGTGCCACTACAATACACGAAGAGTAGAATATATAGCGTTATAAAAAAGTGGGGATTAGGGAATCAATCCAATTTAAATTTACTGTTGGCTGAACTTCTAAGAGAATCGTGTATTATTGAGCTGAGGCTATCACTCCGTCTCTTCTATATATACAATCGAAATTTTGCATCTTTTCCTCAGTTCTGTTCGGATAGGTGACTTCAGCTGGACGAAGATGGCCGAGCATCAGCACCTGCAAGAAGAGCATCTCGACGTCCTGACTAAGACCGGCCAGAAAACCGGTATTTCCAAGCCCAGGCATGTCCCTTTCTCTCACTTTTTCTCCTTTTTCTGTAATCAAAACAAAGATTCGCATTTAATCTCTATCAAAGCGATTTAATTTCATCCAGTTCTATCATGTAACGTGCGTCTTCTTATAGAGTTTCATTTTCTGCTCCAAAATGTTTGTTTTTAGATGAATATAATCTTGGGTATGTTTGGTTTCTGGAAAGTGAGTAAATTTCCTGGGGAAAAATAAAGGGGTGTGTTGGTTTCTGGAAAGTGAGTAAATTTCCTTGCTAATTCTGTTAAATGTGTAAGTGATAACTACTAGGACTTAGTTTTTTTACTGTAAGAAATGGAATTGTATACCTTCTTCTAGTTCATCACTTCATCTGGTTGTTAAATTTCATTTTTAATTGATAATCTGTTATTTTTGGGGGGATACATGTTGCTTATATTTTCCATCCAGGGATTTATAGGCATTACAATCTTTCCTGTTAGCGTTTAATTGCTATATTCATAAGTTTATTTTTTTGGCTAAATTAGGCGAGATGTCCATCTTGATGGAGATTACCATCGGGCTGTTCATGTGTGCATTTTTGCTGAGAGTACACAAGAGCTTCTTCTCCAAAAACGTGCTGACTGCAAGGATTCTTGGCCAGGGTTGTGGGATATCTCTAGTGCTGGCCATATATCTTCTGGTGATTCATCACTTATAACAGCGCAGTAAGTGATTCCAACTTGTTGAAATTCTTCCTAATGCTGCTTTCTGGGATTTCGTATACCTTGGAAGAATCTTCCACAATCCTTCTCTATGCTAATATAAGGCATTTACTTATTATAGTTGTTGAGGATATGTTGCTCTGTAATTTTCACAATGTCCATCCTTGTCACTATTTGTTTTACAAATGCATGCATGTTTTCACTTAGACTTGCGTCCATTTTTGGTTCTGTTTTAATTAAGGTGTCTGATAATTTAGGATTTAAGCTAGTCAAACTCCCCAAGTTTGCTAGTTACTTTAATTGTTTCATCATGGATATTGTTCAAATCATTATTACAGGCTCCCTGCCACATTAAACTCTGTCTGTATGAGTAATGCAGTGTGGCCTTGAGAGCTTAATGGTGTTGAGTTTTTCAATCTGGCCAGATCATAGCAGCCTGCTGGGTAGATGCTTAATAGATGCTTAATAAAATTAAAGAGGGAAAGCTACAATTTAGCATACACTTGGAAATTATGATGCAATCAATGATGTGACCATTTTTTAGGATGATCAAAGGCCACTCTGGATCATTTTCCTTATCCCCTTTGATCCAAGTCTCAGATTTTTATTTATTTGTTTATTTTTTTGCATTCTTAAAATGCTGATTTTATTCTTCCATTTCTATGTAAATTATTCTGCTAGAATCAGTAGGAGATCAGTATCTGTTTATAATTTATTTTTTAGCTTAATTTTCTCTCCTTTCTTTTCACTTGATAAATATTTTTTTGTTTGATACTATTACTATATCCTCATATCTGGTGGTTCTGATATTAAAATACATCCTTGCTGGTTGTCCTGTGCATTCAGGAGGGAGCTTCATGAAGAGCTAGGTCTGATCCTCCCTAAGGATGCGTTTGAGTCCATTTTCACTTTTCTACAAGAGTGGTTAGTGGATAAATTCCTTTATCCTTTTTTGTCATTAAGTTTCTAACATGTGGTAGAACTGCTCTATCTAAATAGTCTCTGTTAGCACTTGTAAATTCTTTCGCCTTTCCTGTCTTTTCAGGAACTTCAACCAAAGAAATAAGCTGATTTAGCTGTCACAATATGTGATTCAGCTCTTACAGAATTTTGTTCAATTGATCATTTGTATTTGCTTTTTTGTTTAATTGAGTTTAATCATGTATTCTTAGTTGTGTAATTTAAATTGCTGTTGAGAAAAGCTTTTTACAGGAAATAAGATGACATGATCCTAGTGGCTAGAAGAGTGTAGAATGGCTAAAAGAGAGGAAGTGAAAGGCAAAAAAAATGAAAAAAAGCCAAGTAACCTAATTGTCTGTTTTAGACTTCTTTTTTTTCCTTCACAGCTATTGATATCACGCAAACCATGTTATCACTGCCTTAAAAATTGGACATAATTGGAAAACTTATTCAAATCTAAGGGCTCAATAGGATAAAACTATTTGTTAAGGATTTAGTTGCATTTCAGTGATTTATACAACAGCTGATTTTTTTAATTTGTATACTTGGCCTTCAATTAAAGTTAATTCCCATGCATGGGATTGTGATTGTCAGTGTGAGGTTAAAGATGTAATGGCCTTCTATTTCCTGGAGATTAAACAGGGATGTGCTTGGTTGCCGCAAAAGAACATTTGATTGTTTTAAACAATGACATTTTTCATTTTGCTTTAATTCAGGATAATTTAATTTCTAAAATATATCCTTTCTGAGCTTGGATATGAAAACACATCATTCCATAGCAGCTGCTAGTTTCCTCCTAAGATCTGCATCACTGTCAAACCATACATCATTAGCACAATTGCATTTAGTGTGTCATTTTATGCTTGCTTTCCAGAGTTTTATTCAATTAATGAAATGAAGTTTTCCTGGATTATTGTTTCTTAAATGTTTAAAATTTAGGGTCAGTGAAACTGTTGTCAACTTTACATTTGAATGCAGTGTTATAAATGATGGAAAGTTCATCAACAACGAATTCAATGATGTGTATTTGGTAACAATCCTAGATCCAATTCCTCTGGAAGCCTTCACACTTCAGGTATGAAGGCTATTGAATGCCATTAGGCAAAGCTTTCAACTATTGTGGTGTTGTTATTGTTAAAATGATACTATTAGATGAGTTCCATGCTGTTTTCATGAAATGGAGTTCTTTATTCTGGAAAAAGTTGCAGGCTAGTTAGATGTAATAATTTTTGTCAAAGGCATTATATCTTGTTTCTTAAATTGGAAGCCAAATTAATGTGAGAGCTTTATGTGTTTGTATGCTATGGCATTCGTAAAAGACCTGGTGTTTCATGTACCATTCATGCCTTTTAGTCACTTTTCATGTGCCCTTGATTGACTTTTATGAACTTGGAGTTTCATGTTTGCCTGGTCAAATAATATTAACACACATACATTTTTACATATATGCACGCATTTGCCCGTGCACATACAGATACTTCCAATCACTAATCTGGCTGAGAACCTTCTTGTTTTTTTGTTTCCTTTTTGTTAGGAAACTGAAGTCTCTGCTGTAAAATATATTCATTATGAAGAATACCAAAGTTTACTTGCCAAAGAGGATCCTGAATTTGTGCCTTATGATGTCAGTGGACAGTATGGTCAGCTCTTTGGCATAATAACACAAAGGTATGCTATAATTTACTGTGGTGGAATCCAATAGGCTTATATTAATGCGTCTAAATTTAATCTTTACTCAGCATATTTTCAGTATTCTAAGGATTATTGTACTTTCATCTATATTTCACACAGGTATAAAGAGAGCAGTGAGGCACGCAGTTTAATTCTACAAAAGCAACTCAATCGCTATGCTCCTGTTCCACTCAGTGCAGAGGTTGTCAACTTTCTGCTAGTTTTTGTTATTATATTGTTGGTGTGTCTTTGATGTCATTATTCTTTTTGAGCTTTATCTTTAAGCTTTTAATTTCATCATGCAATGATGCATAATATGGGATGTAAATTTAGTTTATCAACATAATTTTAAGTATGATTGCTTGACTGGAATGCCTATTTTTGCTCTGTTAGAGCATCCAAGTGTAGACTTCAGCTTTTTCTTTATTTTTTATCAATCTATGACGCATTCTTCTTTGAATGCTTTAAGCTACCTAGTGCTGCATGAAAAAGGAGGTTCTTAATGTGAAGATGTGGATTTCAAGCATAAAACATGCAAGAAACCACTCAACCTATTGTGGAGGTTTTACTAAGATGTCCCATTCCTATTTTGCTGGAAACTGTGAAACAGAACAGAATCATCACTTGCTAAGCCTATTTGGATTATTTAAGTTTTTTCCATTGTTTTTCATTCTAATCTTATGCTTCATGTCTTCTTTTCTCTTCGCCCCTTTTTATAAAATTTTAGTCCTTTTTTATCACATTTATTAGGATATTCACTGTATCTTTTCATTTGGTGCAGTTGACTGGGCTTACAGAGGCAGACAAGGAGGCTTTAGTTTGGATTATCAAGGCTGCTATGATTATGGATGAAATCTTTTATCTGCAGGTTGCATTTATTTGAGTGTTTAAGTAGACTTAGTCACACACGACATATGAGAGCAGAAACATGTACCAAATGGCTACTGTCATATTTATATGCATATATCCAGCAGGCTTGATGGTTTTTGAATTAGAAATTTTTCGTCTTTTAGTTTTTGTATTCTCTAATGCTAAATGAACATTGGGGAAAAAATGCTAAATGAACTAACTTTCATCACTGCTATACTCTGATCTCAACAAGACCTAACTAGAATTATTGAACAACAATTTGGAGCACTCACCATTTATCATCTTGTTTAATATCTATGTTTTCCCTAATTAGTCATGATTACAGTTAAATTTTGGAATTTAATAGATATTTCATGCTACAAGATTTGGCATTCTTGGATAAATTCTGATTTTGGGTGGCACCTCTTGCTGATACGTGTCTCTGTTTCTCCCATCCCAAACAATCAGGTTTGGTATAGCAATCCAATTCTAAGAGATTGGTTGAAGGAGAATGCCGGCAGATCAGAATTAGACAGCTTAAAGTGGATGTATTATGTAATTAATAAGAGTCCATGGTAAGTATTTGCATAGGATTCTTTCTTTGAAAGAAATATGTTGTTATTACTGATAATTCATTCCTTTTCAACAGGTCCTGCCTTGATGAAAACAAGGCATTTTTGACAACCAAAGATTCAGCTGTAAATTTGCTTCCTGGAGCCACTAGGCCAGTTACTGGCTGGAAGGGTATAGAATACAAGGCTGCATTTCCTATGCTGAAACCCCCTGGTGCTAACTTCTACCCACCAGACATGGACAAAATGGTAATTTACAGAATTCAATATGACTTGTTAAGAAGAATGATCAATAAAATTTCATGACTAAGCAGCAAATTTTCTAGAGTAACAATCCTTTTTAATTGTCTTTTCATCTAGCAGAAAGGCCATTAGGTTTTATTTTATTTTTTTTCCACAGGAATTTAAAATATGGAAGGAAAGCCTCACAGAGGATCAGCAACAAGATGTGATGAGCTTTTTCACTGTTATTAAGAGGCCCAGTCAATTTAGTTTGGACAATTCTATTTTCAATCCTGCAGTTGATGGAATAAATCATTTAACAGAATCGCGTCATGATCTATCTTGTGTTCCTTACTCCAAAGAGTATCAGTCCTTCCTCAATAAAGCATCTGAACTATTGCATAAAGCTGGGGATATGGTCAGTTCACCAAGGTATGATTGCCAAATTTTATTTTCTTTCCTTTCAATTGCTTGTTGACTAGCCACAGTATTAAAGTCTATTATGGTGCTGTTTGTTAAGCCAGTCTTGCTCTGTGTAGCTTAAAGAGGTTGCTTCATAGCAAGGCAGATGCCTTCCTTTCAAATGACTATTATGACTCAGATTTAGCTTGGATGGAGCTGGTTAGTGGTTGTACTAAATCTTTTTATGCTTTCTCATTTTCCCTGTTCAATCTTTTATTCTTATGACTTAGGTCATTATCATTCTGCATATTATTATTATCAAGGTTATAAACAAATATGCCAAAAATTAAGATCTAAATCTTTGACTTGGAGAACTGCCTATGGAATTTTTGTCTGAGAATTATGTCATGAATTTGTCAGGATTTTTTTTATATGATAAGTTATGAGAGTGATAAATTCGTATTGTAGTTATACTAAATATTTGGACCAAATTTTGATATTGTTTGGAATGTGGCTTTTATGCATATCAAATGTTACATTCATGATACTCCCCAACTCATGGGAAAAGATGTCTTAATCTTGATGTAGTCACTGCAACTTTATCTTTATCTTTATCTTTATTTTTAAGTAAACTTTTCTTTGACATTTTTAAATTTAATAGTCATATCCTTTTGGTTTTAATAAACTTAACTGCCTTTCCACTTCTTCTTCTGACTAATTCATTTCTATGGCGTAGGATTCTAAGCTGGATGTTACAATTGGTCCATATGAGACATATGAAGATGCATTGTTTGGGTACAAGGTGTTGATGTTTTTACTATTTCCTTCCACTCCAATTATTTTAGTATTGCATAAGATTGGAGTTGTTGAAGAAGTCAGGCTTAATAGTTTTGCTCTTATATTGCTTCCCTTTTGACAAGTGTGCGACATGCCTTTTCCTTTCTTGGGTGGATTGAAACATGCTCTTTTGAATTTGAAATATGTCCTCTGGAGATTTTGGATAACTATTATATCTGATGTACTATAAGTCCATGAAAGATTAAATTTAAATTTACAAATTTATTTCTGGTGAAAAGTAAAGGCAAACTTCATTTCATCCCTGTGATTTGGGCAGTTTACAATGTCCCATCCATATACAGTTAAGTCAAATCTATTTACAAGCTTTGAAATGGTGAAGGCTAACATTTCTTGGAATATGGGAAATCAGTACACCACAGAGCATATAAGTGTCATAAGGCAAACCACATTATGGTATATATAAAGTAGGCACTATTTTTTATTATTATTTGGGGGTGGGGGGGTGGTGCGTTAAGTGAAGTCATCCATTATAAAAAATTTATTGATAGTTTTCATGGTCTCAAAGAATTCACTTTCCAGTTTATTTCTTATATCTGGATTAAAAAAGACCAATGAACTTAGAAGATATGTTCAATTGCTAATGTTATAGATGTCAAATATGACACTGGGAATTTAAAAGGCATAATAGCATTTTCAAGGCTTATACTTATACCGAATCCTTATGAATGCTTTTCCATACCATAAATTCTTCAAGTGAATTTTTCATTCATCTTTATTATCCTCATGAACTTGCTAGCTCATTTTGGACGGCTTGTTGTATGGCTTAAGTGTGCATGTCTGCAGCAAACTGCATGCCCTTGTGTTGTACATATTGGAAATCAAGTTTGAAATGAACTGTATTCATGTTGCAATGATTTGATTATTTAGATGTGATGTGCAGCTTGTTTAATGCACTATGTTTATCTTAGGCTACATTTGAAGCATTTATTGGAGTTCGAGATGACAAAGCAACTGCTCAAGTTAAACTCTTTGGTGATAATTTGCAGGTATTTTGTGTAGTTTTTACAACCTAAGAGCCTAAGATGTATTGCCTTTCTTCTGAGCAATTTGTTCAAAATCATTTTTATCTTAGGTTTTGGAAAAAAATCTTCCATTGGATAATGCTTACAAATCAAAAGATGTTATTGCTGCTCCCATTCGTGTCATCCAGCTTATTTATAATGCAGGGGTGAGTTGTTACTTGAAAATCTTTTATGTTTTTATATTCTTTTCAAAAGAATCTTTTGTTTATGTGGTACTAAGCCTGTCATACATGGAAACAAGCAAATGCATGTTCACATATGTGCATAAGTTTAGACATGCTTGCATATATTGCATCTTCACTCATTCAAGATTTTTGGCTCTATGCTGTAGGAAGATTTTGTTCTAAATATCGCAAGGCACATATTCATTGTTTAAAAATCCATCTTCATGCCAACCTATTTGAACTTTGATTTAGGAACAATTTTGTTGGAAATAGATACGTAAGTATTTAGTAGATTGAGAGAGTAACTGGATGGACCAACAAAGAACTTATGCACATACTCTGTGGATACATCACATTGTTAAATGATTTGTATTGAAAATTAAATATGAGAAATGAGAAATGAGAAATGAGAAGAAGGTACGGAAATTTTTATTTTGATTTTCTAATTTCCTTTTCTCTTGACTGTAATTCTAATTTATACTGTACTATAATTTTAAACAGGATGTAAAGGGTCCTCAGACTGTTGCCTTCAATTTACCAAATGATGAACGAATTGTAAAGGACCGAGGGACATCCATGGTCATGCTTAAGAATGTCTCGGAGGAAAAGTACAACTTTTAGTGCTTTTCAGAAAATTTTAATCATTATTCTAGAAAATAAAAATAAAAATAGAGGTTAGACTTTTAACACTTTTCCTTTTCAACCAGGTTTAAGCACATCCTTCAGCCAATAGCTGACACATGTATCAAAAAGGAACAAAGGGAACTTGTAGATTTTGAGTCTTTCTTTACTCACACTATCTGCCATGAGTGCTGCCATGGCATTGGGCCTCATACGATAACACTTCCTGATGGCCGAAAGTCAACAGTTAGATTGGTTAGTTATGTAACTTCCTTTTATTGTATATGTTTCCCATTTTGGCAAATTGAATCTAAAAACATGTCTGTGTAGTATCTCCCAGGAAAATATAATTTATTTGTTATTCATAAAAAATGGAAAAATAAATTCTTACTCATTTAGTCCCATAGTTCCAGTTTTAGGTAAACATTGAACAGCTGGATCATTGTTGCTTATGGTTGCATCTGTGCAGCCCAAGGAATACTCAGATGTAGGTGATATTTTCTAGAAAAGGATTTGGAGAATTCCAAAGTGTCTTCTTAAGTTAATGAGAAGATTTATATATAGAAAATTAGTGAAGATTTATATATAGATAAATAGTGAACAAGCCGCCTGAAACACTGGGGACACTGGGTTTCTGGCAATATGAATAGCTGCTTGGTTATCACACACTAATAGGTTGTAGCTGTTTAAAATCAAATTCCTCTAACAAATTTTCAGACCAAATCAACTTACAAGTAATATTTTCCTATGCCCTTCCCCTATGTTCAGTCTCAGAACTAGACTTTCCTACCACTTTTTTTTTTTTTCCTTAATCTTCCAAGATGATGAAGACACAATATCCAATGTTAGGTTGCTGCTGTTTGTTTCTTTTAGTTAGAGAACCTGCCCAATCTGCTAGTATACAAGGAGTTTTTGGTACTCTTTTTTTTTTCTTAATCAGCAATCATTATAGTTGAGGATTGTTTCTGGTCTTATTTTCAAGAACAGGTCACTTGCAAAAGAAAAGAAAATCAAGAACAGGTCTGACATGTTAGCAGTTGTTATTATCTCTGATTTGCCATTGTTTTTCTTATATTTTTTTAATGCAGGAGCTGGAAGAACTACACTCGGCTTTGGAAGAAGCGAAAGCAGATATAGTTGGTCTTTGGGCTCTGAAGTTTCTAATCAGCAAGGTTGATTACTGGCGCTCTGTTTAATATGGTTTTGGTTTTTGGTTTTTAGATTTTAGTTTTATATATTTAGTAACTAATACTATATTTAAATTAAATTTAATAGATTCTAATTTTTATAATAAATTTTGGTTTCTAAATATAGCATAATTACTAAAAAAATAAAAAATGAAAACCAAAAAACCAAAACTCAAAACCATACTAAATGGAGTCTAAATTTTTCTTTTTAGTTGGATGTAACTGTATTTACTCTCAAGTAAATAATGGTTTTTGCATTAGCTAATTCTTTATTATTATTTCTAGTCTATTATCAACAGGGTTAGGGTCTTACTGCCCATGCCATTTCCTACTATCATTCTGCAACTTTTAAGCTTTCATGTTGTTTGTCAACAATATTGACTTTTTAACTTATATATATAACATGTCATCAAATTTCTTAGTTCTTTGTGCCCATTATGTAAGGCAAATTGACAGGCTAGTTAACTTGAAAGAGAGGAGCTTAAACGTTAGCATTGAAATGATGGCATTACAGGAAGTCAACCAGAAAATGTTATTTTCCATTTCGTTTAGCAGATAGAATAACTACTTTGATAATCAAAAGAATTATTTTAACATACGTACTTTTGATAATTACTTATAAGCATACCAATTTGTTTATGACACAAAAAGTTTTGATTGGAGAAAGTGTACCCATCATATGTAACCAGATCAGTTACATTACTTCCTGCTTCATTCTTTGTAATGCTTTGGATCAGTTTAATTTCAAACATAATTTGCCCCCTAATTGATTTGAGACAGTTAAAGTTCCTGTCAAACTTTTATTTGCAAGCAAGGAGGTATCGAATTCAACTTCCAATTGTGGGTTTTTATATTCTTCTTGATAACAAATTCAGGTCTACTTAAGGTATCTAGAGTTTAGGAATGTTTGTTCCATATTATGCCTGGATAGGTTATAATATTATACATAGTTGTGTTGCTTGTGCATTAGTTCTTTTATGTGGAACCTATCCTTGGCTTTGTTTCATATGATCTCTCTTTGTGTTTAATTTTCTGGGTCAGGATTTGCTTCCAAAAAGTTTGGTAAAATCCATGTATGTTTCTTTCCTTGCGGGATGTTTCCGCTCAGTACGATTTGGCTTGGAGGAAGCTCATGGGTAAGCTTGCTATTCATCAGCTGTTGATAAATTATGTTATTAATGCTGACTGTTCTCTATTTACTGATATTGTCAGGAAAGGACAGGCCTTGCAGTTTAATTGGTTATTGGAGAAAAAGGCCTTCACCCTGCATCCGGATGATACATTTTCTGTTGATTTTGATAAGGTATGTCAGTTCTAGATTAACTCTCCTATGAATTTGTTTCCTGAAAAACTGCTGCCAATAAGCTTTGTTATTTGAAAGGTTGAAGAAGCGGTTGAAAGCTTGAGTAGGAAGATATTAACAATACAGGCACAGGGTGACAAGCAAGCTGCAAGCTTGCTTCTTCAGAAGTACTGTGTGATTACAACACCATTAAAAGTTGCATTGCAGAAGTTAGAAGGCACTCAGGTATGTGCTGCAGTATTCTTGCATCTGCTGATGCATACGTATACTCATTGAGAACTAGTTTAATCA